TCCGCATCCATCATGACTCAGACTTTAACCAGCATGCAGGTCGAGACAGTACCCTTCAAGACTTGAAACAGAGATTATATTGGCCAAACATGGACGCTGACGTGGGACGATATGTCCGACATTGTCTATGGTGCCGTAAGGCTAAAAGCTGGCTGCCGAAAAAAGCGGGCAAACTGCAGCAAACCTTACACCAGCATAGCGGGAGTTTACTCTCCATAGACTTGGTGGGGCCACTGCGACGCACTACGGAGCACCAGTATTGTTACGTACTGACGATGATGGATGCATTTAGCCATCATCTAACAGCAGTTCCGATTAAGTCAAAGAGCGCAGTTGATGTGCTTGAAGCTTTTGTACAGAACATTGTTCTCCAAGGACTTTTGCCTTCTCGGTTGGTCTCCGTTAAGGGTGGCAGAAGAAAAATAGTAAAGGGCTCCGTTGTTTCTGACAACGGGACCGAGTTCAAAAATGAGCTCATGCAAAACTTTTTAGAGTTGTTTAAGGTCAGGTTCGGGTATTCTATTCCGTACCACCCTCAGAGCAACCCGGTGGAACGTGTTCACCGTTATTTGGGATCGTCTTTGCGTATTGCATTAGGCAAGAGTAACGCGATTCATGATAATTGGGATGAAGTCCTACCGTATATAGTATTCAGTTACAACAAAAAGTTCATCCCCGGGACGACTATTAGCCCCTTTTTGATGCGCAATGGGTTCGAGCCAGCCTATCCAGAAGATCTGGCTGTGAAAGAACTTGTGTTCCAGAGTAAGACTTATCAAGAAAAGCTCCAGGAAGTGTCCGAGCGGTATGAGCTGGCAGAGCGCCTAGTCCGGGAGGCCCATGAGGAATCCAAGGCTGCGCAACAAAGCCTCCCTCGGGCATTCTACCAGCATTAATCTAAAAACAAAATATAGGATTCCCGCCCCTTTAGTGAGAGAACTACTAACTAACATTACCCCGCCGTCAACTAACTAAATGTTTTCCTCAAATTTGGACGGTGTCACTCACAGGGTCAAATACACAAATACACAAATACACAAAAAACACATTTTCAGTCACTGTCCGCTGGTTCTTGCGAGTCTGGCACAAAGTCGCTGTCTTGAGTGTTGTCAGTTCCCTGCGTGTCCTGACCCTCACCCCTTTGTTGCCGACGCAGAAACAAAGTGATGCGTAATATTGCCTCTGTCTTTGCGAGGCGGTCCGCGGGCAAAAATTCCATTATTAATTTAAAAATTTCATTCGGCACTCGTTTGGCATCATCATCAAGGACAGTCTCATCATCACTCTTCTCCAAGTTTTGGTCAGGGTCTGTGTAAGTCTCCTCGTATTTGTCACCTACACCCCGATGCCAGAAAT